CCCGTCTCCCCGCCGCCGCGCAGCGCCCGCGGCCGCCGGGCCATGGAGCTTATCGAGCTACGGGAGCTACAACCGGAGCCGCGACCGGGCCGGGGCCGCTTAGAACGGACCAACGCTTTGCGCATCAGCCCGGCCCGACGGTCCGGGCCCGGTCCCGTTTCCGGAGGACACCCCGATCCGAGATTGACGGCGGTACCGGGAGCCGGGCACCACTTCGAGCCCCGGCGCCGCGGGCTCCACACCTGGTGCGATCTCTGCGGGGAATTCGTCTGGGGCGGCGGCAGGAAGAGCCTCCAGTGCCGCCGTGAGTACCGCGCCGCGCCCCGGGACTGTCCCCCCGCCTCAACCCCCCCACCGGGCATCCTGCCAGCGGGCACCCCACCGGGTATTCCGGTACCGGGCACCCCCACCGGACATCCCACCACCGGACATGGGCATCCTGCCACCAGGCACCCACATCGGGCATCCCACCACCGGGCGCAGGGTGTCCCGGTACCAGCCACCCCTCACCGGGCACGGGTATCCCCGTTGCCAGGCACCCCAAAGAAGCACTGGGCATCCCCATAGTGGGCACCCCCACCCAAAGAAGCACTGGGCGTCCCCGTAGTGGGCACCCACGGGGTGTCCCAGTACTAGCCACCCCCACAGAGCAGTGGGCATCCCAGTGCTGGGCACCCACACCAGGCGCTGAGCACCCTGATACGGGGCACCCGCACTGGGTACAGACATCTTGGTACCAATTAACCCCACCAGGCAGCCCAGTACCGGGCACCCCCACTGGGCATCCCCATACCAAGCACCCCCACCAGCCAGTGGCCACCAGACACCTGCAGTGGGCACTGCCAGCCCCGGCAGTGAACACGGGCACCATGGTAGCAGCCAGCAGCATGGCACAGCACCGGGTCCCACGTGGGTGCTGTCCCCTGGGCCCTGGCACAGCAAGGGCAGGCAGCAGCACCAGTAGCAGTGCAAGCAGGGGTACTGGGAACCAGTACAGGCACCACACAGCAGCCCTTACCCCACCAGGCACTGGTGTCCTCCCTGGCACAGCCACCAAGGCCAGACCCCAGTGGTGATACCAACCTCAGTAGGGACCCAGCGTGAAGTGCCCTGACATCCCATCAGCTGGATTTAGGGTGCCAGGGGATGGGTGGCCCCACTGACACCCCCCTACCCCCCTCCTGTCCCTGTCCCCAGACTGCAGCTTCACCTGCCACTACCGGTGCCGGGCCCTGGTGCGGCTGGACTGCAGCGGCCCCCCGGGTGCCGGCGACGAGGACGATGGCACCGAGCAGGCGTTGGAGAAGGACACCAATGTGGTAGGGCCTGGCCGGGGGGTGGCAAACCCAGGGTCTGTCTGGGCTGGGGGGGGGAGGTGCTGGGCTGTGCCAGGCTGTGCCGTGTGAGGCCATGTCATGCCACACCAAGCTGTGCTGTGCCACAGTGAACCTGGCCATGATTTTGGCCAAGAAAGGTTGGATTTGGCCAAGAATGGTTGGATCCTTGAGATTCCTTCCAACCTGGAGTCTATACTGTGCCCATGCTGTGCCATGCCAGGCTGTGCCGAGCCATGCTGGGCTTTGCTGTGCCATGCCAGGCTGTGCTGGGCCATACTGGGCTGTGCCGTGCCATACTGGGCTGTGCCATACCATGCCGGGCTGTGTTGGACCATGTTCTGCTGTGCCATGCCAGGCTGTGCCAAGCCATACTGGGCTGTGCTGAGCCTTGCTGGGCTGTGCCATGCCATGTCAGGCTGTGCCAGACCATGCTGAGCTGTGTGCTAAGCCATGCCATGCTTTACTGTGCCATGCCGTGCCACACCAGGCTGTGCCGGGCCATGCTGGGCTGCATGCTAAGCCATGCCAAACCACACTGAGCTGCGCCATGCTGTGCTATGCCGTGCTGTGCCAGGTTGTACCATGTTGGGCTGTGCCAGATCATGCTGGGCAATGCCATGCCATGCTGTGCCTGCTGTGCTATGCCGTGCTGTGCCAGGTTGTGCCATGTTGGGCTGTGCCAGATCACGCTGGGCAATGCCATGCCATGCTGTGCTGTGCCACACAAGGCTGTGCCATGGCATGCCAGGCTGTGCCAAGCCATACTGGGCTGTGCTGAGCCCTGCTGGTTTGTGCCGGACCATGCTGAGCTGTGTGCTAAGCCATGCCAAGCCACACTGAGCTGTGCCATGCCAGCCGTGCTGTGCCAGGTTGTGCCATGTCAGTCTTTGCCAAATCATGCCAGGCAATGCCGTGCCACACCAGGCTGTGCCATGTCATGCCAGGCTGTGCTGGGCCATACTGGGCTGTGCTGGGCCATGCTGTGCTGTGCTGTGCTGTCTGGGCTGTGCCGTGCCAAGCCATACTGGGCTGTGCTGAGCCATACTGGGCTATGCTGGGCCATGCTGTGCTGTGTGCTAAGCCATTCCATGCTATCCTGTGCCACGCCGTGCCACGCCAGGCTGGGCTGTGCCATGCCATGCTGGGCTGTGCTGTGCCATACTGGGCTGTGCTGGGCCATGCTGGGCTGTGCTGTGCTGTCTGGGCTGTGCTGTGCCAAGCCATACTGGGCTGTGCTGAGCCCTGCTGGTTTGTGCCGGACCATGCTGAGCTGTGTGCTAAGCCATGCCATGCTTTACTGTGCCATGCCGTGCCACACCAGGCTGTGCCGGGCCATGCTGGGCTGCATGCTAAGCCATGCCAAACCACACTGAGCTGCGCCATGCTGTGCTATGCCGTGCTGTGCCAGGTTGTGCCATGTTGGGCTGTGCCAGATCACGCTGGGCAATGCCATGCCATGCTGTGCTGTGCCACACAAGGCTGTGCCATGGCATGCCAGGCTGTGCCAAGCCATACTGGGCTGTGCTGAGCCCTGCTGGTTTGTGCCGGACCATGCTGAGCTGTGTGCTAAGCCATGCCAAGCCACAATGAGCTGTGCCATGCCAGCCGTGCTGTGCCATGTCAGTCTTTGCCAAATCATGCCAGGCAATGCCATGCCACACCAGGCTGTGCCATGTCATGCCAGGCTGTGCTGGGCCATACTGGGCTGTGCTGGGCCATGCTGTGCTGTGCTGTGCTGTCTGGGCTGTGCCGTGCCAAGCCATACTGGGCTGTGCTGAGCCATACTGGGCTATGCTGGGCCATGCTGTGCTGTGTGCTAAGCCATTCCATGCTATACTGTGCCACGCCGTGCCACACCAGGCTGTGCCGTGCCATGCCATGCTAGGCTGTGCTGTGCCATACTGGGCTGTGCTGAGCCACACTGGGCTATGCTGGGCCATGCTGGGCTGTGTGCTAAGCCATTCCATGCTATACTGTGCCACGCCGTGCCACACCAGGCTGTGCCGTGCCATGCCATGCTAGGCTGTGCTGTGCCATACTGGGCTGTGCCATACCATGCTGGGCTGTGCTGGACCATGCTCTGCTGTGCCATGCCAGGCCGTGCCAAGCCATACTGGGCTGTGCTGAGCCATACTGGGCTGTGCCGGGCCATGCTGGGCTGTGTGCTAAGCCATTCCATGCTATACTGTGCCACGCCGTGCCGTGCCAGGCTGTGCCGTGTCGGGCTGTGCCAGATCATACCGGGCAAAGCCATGCCATGTTGTGCCACACCGAGCTGTGCCGTGCCGTGCCATGCCGGGACACAGGCGGGTCCGGGCGGGTGAAATCACCGCCGGAAGCGGGGCCGCACCGCACCGCCCCCGGCCCGCGTCAGCCCCACGGGCGGGGCGGGGCCGCGGCGGGAGCGGGGCCGGGAA